AAATTGACAGCACATTACTGATGTGTTGCATGCTAAGTCAAATAATGTACAGTCCTTTAAAATTGACAGCACATTACTGATGTGTTGCATGTTAAGTCAAATAATGTACAGTCCTTTAAAACTGATGGCACATTACTGATGTGTTGCATGTTAAGTCAAATAGTGTACAGTCCTTTAAAATTGACGTCACATTGCTGATGTGTTGCATGCTAAGTCAAATAATGTACAGTCCTTTAAAATTGACAGCACATTACTGATCTGTTGCATGTTAAGTCAAATAATGTACAGTCCTTTAAAACTGTTGGTACATTACCGATGTGTTGCATGCTAAGTCAAATAATGTACAGTCCTTTAAAATTGACAGCACATTACTGATGTGTTGCATGTTAAGTCAAATAATGTACAGTCCTTTAAAATTGATGGCACATTACTGATGTGTTGCATGCTAAGTCAAATGATGTACAATCCTTTAAAATTGACAGCACATTACTGATGTGTTGCATGTTAAGTCAAATAATGTACAGTCCTTTAAAATTGATGTCACATTACTGATGTTTTGCATGCTAAGTCAAATGATGTACAATCCTTTAAAATTGACGTCACATTTCCGATGTTTTGCATGCTAAGTCAAATGATGTACAATCCTTTAAAATTGATAGCACATTACTGATGTGTTGCATGTTAAGTCAGACATTTCTGGCATGTTTTGCTTGCTAAGCCAGAGAGTGTGCTCAGTGAAAACATTATTAATAACCTCTGATGAAAGCAAGCTACCTAGGTAGATCAGAACTAAAAATTCACACAATGAATAATGTACGCAAGTTAATATACCGGTATAACTAGGAATATACAGTGTTATAAAACAAACTGACCACAATGTATTAATTCTGATTAATCTTAATAATATCTTGTAAGTTTCAACTGGCTTAAAAGATTCAGTTTAGTCCTAACTCTCAAAACTAAGTTAACAATGCAACACAATCATCATAATAAAGAAATAAGTGATACATACAAAAGTTTATAAAACATTTTAACAAGTGCTATTAATGAAACTAACATTAAAGAAATAATGGAAGATAACACACAATAATAATAATAGTAATAATTTACTATTACTGATTCCTTCTCACATAGAGAAAATATTATCCTGGAATGCTTTTTATGCTAAGCTAGACACTGTGCACTTCTGAAGTGCTTAATAATAATGGTTAAATATACAAAGTTATTTTTGTTAATTTAGACTAACAGATTTGGCAAACAGTTGCATTTTTGTCATTAGTGAAAAATATAACCATTTTGATAGGAAGTTTGGATGTCACCATTTTCATTATAGCTACGATGTTTAAATACCTGGAAAATTTAGCCATTTTGAAACTATTCAAATGTTAAACTGCTTAAAATTATTAATCCTTTAATCTCAGTTTTGTTTTGTGACATTATTATTTGTCAGATCTTTTTCTATTTCTTGTTGTTTAATTTTAGTTTAAATAAGAGTCCTTTGATGGCTCAGCAGGAAACTTGAGGGCTTATAATGCTAAAATTGTGCTTCAATACTATGGTGACACAGCATAGGTAACCTATTGTGCATCTTTGCTCTTAAACACAAAACAAACAAACAAAGCTTATATGTAGAAATAACCCAGACAAAATTTGATCTGCCATATTTGTGAGGTTACCATTTGTTAACTCCTCTGTCAGTTGTCTGTTAATGCTTTATCCTACCATACAAAAAAAAATGTTGAAATGTTTCTTCAGATATGATTTTTATTCATTCCATTATATCTATGTGATGAATTATTATAATAAAATGTTTAGAATGACAAATGTCCACTCTTAAGTGTCTAAATCAGTTAAAGATCTGTAAAAAAGTGAACAAAATTGGTGGAAAGGTTGAGTATTGCTCCTAAAATGGGAGGAAATAAGAATTGTCGTAGTATTAAGTGCAGAGTTTGGAGTGCTCAAGTTGTTACTGTACTAAGAAGTATGAATCATCTTAGTATTGAGAGCAGAGCTAGGAGTGTTGAAGGTATTACTATCTTTGTACTATTAAAAGTAGATTTTGGAGTGTGTAAGGTGTGCAAGGAAATATGAATCGTTATATTATTGAGCAGAGTTTATGGTGTTCAAGGTGTTACCTCATGAGAAAGTAAGAATCATCATAGTATTTATGGCAGAGTTTGGGGTGTTAAAGGTGTTACTGTGTGAATGAATAAGTATTGTCTTGGTATTTAGGGGTGATTTAGGGGTGTTCAGGGTGTTACTGTGTGAAGAAATAAGAATTGTCTTGGTATTTAGGGCAGAGTTTGGGGTGTTCAGGGTGTTACTGTGAGAAGAAATAAGACTTGTCTTGGTATTTAGGGCAGAGTTTGGGGGTGTTCAGGGTGTTACTGTGTGAAGAAATAAGAATTGTCTTGGTATTTAGGGCAGAGTTTGGGGTGTTCAGGGTGTTACTTCTACTACTAACAGACCTGTACGAAGTGGAAATTCCAAAGGTGGGTTATGTAAAGAAGTATGAACTAAAAGAGAAATTTCTTATGGAAATATTCTTCAGAAGTCGTATAATAATAATTTACATTGTTCTTTACCTATAGAATTTGTTTGATAACTTGCATCTATAAATCTTGCTAATACTCCTATTAGATAGTCTATAAAAAGTTTTAAACTTGGGTTCATAATTTGCATCTTATTACTGCAAAAACAAGCTCTGCATTTTGGGGCTGTGGGTGTATTATAAGAATGGCAGTCAAATCCATCTGTTTGGTCAAATAAGAATAGAGGATATTGTTGACCAGCTACCTTCTCTGAGCTCTGTCAGTTTAAAATTAGAAAATTCTGTGGGAATATAGTCCTAGTGTAGCTTTGCACAAACATTTTAATAAACTGCTCTTTCTTGATTATATTACATACTATTGCCTGGATCACATGGACAGCTTTTGCTACTGACCTTTGTATATCTGTTACAAGATGTCATGTTTTGTTTATCACAACTGAGTATAACTTATAACAGGTCTCTTTCTGGATGTTCCTGGTACTCCAAATTGATCTATACAAGGACTGACCTTGTCTTGGAAATTAAAAATCCTTTATTTGAGCTCATCTTTATGATTTGAATATTTTGTTTTTTACATACCCTTCCCAAAAGTGACCAATTTTTGGCAGTGCCACACGATCTACGAAATGCCAAACAATGTCAAAATGTAGTTCTAATACATGATATTCCACTATGACTATATGAATGTTGTTGTAACATGATTTTCTAATTAGCATATTCAAAAAAACATTTAACATAATTACTCATCCCTCTGTGGAACATCTTGTAGCAAATTGAAAGATTGTTAAAGAATATAAAAGTTTGGAGATGGCTTGAATGGGTAATGAAGAAAACTTTATTATAAATGTACAATGTTTCAACAAGATTGTCATTATCAGGTACAAGTAATTTACATAGACACAAGAATATACACACAGTATGGAACAAAGAGGCCTTATTACTGGAGATTGCTGAACACCTTAATAAAGGTGTATTGGTACCCTGAGGTGTTGGTTTAGAGTAGGGCTGTTTTGTTCAGTTAAGATTGCTTCCTTTATTTTGTGTTTGTAGATGTTTGGTTATTTGTTTAAAATTACAGTGCTTTTTGAGTTACAATTGTGGTAAACATGGGAGGGTTTTTATTATGTTTCGTGAATTTAGTTTCCAGTATTCTTCCAGTTTCTCCAATGTAGAATTGTGGACAATCATTGCACGTTATTTTATAAATGATGTTGGTATTGTCTGATTCTATATACTTTTTATTTAGTAATGATTTTAGTTTAGGGCTGGGTTTTATTTTCTAAAAAGGGGGTTCCTCGTCATTAGATTGTTAAAGGATATTTCATTGATGAAATCTAGAACTATAAGCTGGAATGTTTAAACCCAAAATGCCTTCTGAAGTTTTAAGATTTTTTGAACAAGTTGCCAACCTACAAGGTTTTGCCCCTGCTTTATAACAATTATTTTTACATATTTTAGGACATATAATTCTTAAACATGTTAAGGTCCCATACTGAATCTAGTTTGTCTTTTACAGTTCATATGACATCTTATAAACGGATGGCCTTAAACTTGATTCTAATGTTATCTCTTATCCCGTATGTGAAACACTATTCTGCAGATCTTTTAATGGTTGAACTAAGCAGATACATCAAACAGAAACACACTGAAAGTTGGCTCTTTAAGAAAGTGAATTGTTAATAGAAGATTTACAGAAGTTAGTCCTGTACTTATTTGAATGTAGGTCAAATGTCAATGCCACAAGAAAAAAATTCATAAGTTGAATTTGTATGAATAACTATGATGCCTGCAAAGCTTTTGACCATAAAAATATTGTTACTATTATTATCATTGTTTGTGTGGTGCATATCATAAAAATATTGTTACTATTATTATCATTGTTTGTGTGGTGCATATCATAAAAATATTGTTACTATTATTATCATTGTTTGTGTGGTGCATATCATAAAAATATTGTTACTATTATTATCATTGTTTGTGTGGTGCATATCATAAAAATATTGTTCTTATTATCATTGTTTGTGTGGTGCATATCACAAAAATATTGTTACTATTATATCATTGATAATAGTAACAATATTTTTGTGATATGCACCACACAAACATCATTGTTTGCGTGGTGCATATCATAGAAATATTGTTATTATTATCATTGTTTGCGTGGTGCATATCATAGAAATATTGTTATTATTATCATTGTTTGCATGGTGCATATCATAAAAATATTGTTATTATTATCATTGTTTGCATGGTGCATATCATAAAAATATTGTTATTATTATCATTGTTTCTGTGGTGCATATAATTTTTTAACTTAATTCTTTGGTTTTATTTGGGATTTTGATAAGAAAGGTAGACTTGTAGGTTATAGAATGTTTTGTGTAAGTTGTTGCTGATGCAATGTTTTTTATAATCACAATTTTTTCAAATGCTTCTTTTAATAACACAGGGCAGAGAAAACTGAAGTTTTGACAGAGGACCTGGTTAGTGCTGAGAAACGTGTAGAACTAATTAAACAGTCATGTCAAAACATTGCAAAGAAAGCAGCAGGATGTTTGGAAAGTGGAGGAATGGATCTTTTAGGTCCAGAAAAAAGACTGGTAAGCCTCAGAGATTTTTCCTTTCAAATTAATTGTGTGTTCTGCATTTAACCATACAAAAAGTTCATGAGTTATACAGAAAGTTCATATTAGCTTATTTTATAAAGTTATGTTGTTAGTATTTGTATATCAGAACTTGTGGCAAGATAGCAGGATCGTGGGAATCCCATGTTTTTTAGGTTTGTATCTCCTTGAAAACAGTATATTGTGTAGTAGTCATTGAGTCTGTGAAATGCATGAGTTGACATATATTTTAGGGGATTATCCATTTTGATATCCAAGTTTCAAATAACAAACTTGAACACATCGATTTCACTTTTTACCAATTAAACAGTTATACTAACATTGAATTCTGCTAGATCCAAAACTTAGCTAAAATTTGTCTATCAGATTGGCATGATAAGCAACTGAGGTGCCAGCCACAGTGCTCCTGGCCAGGTGCTTGACTCTTTTATAGTTCTTTGTTTAAAGTACATTATTGTAAGTCAATGTATAAATGAAAGTAGATAAAGGATACGAGCATTTGTAGTACAATTTACATTACTGACACCAGTATTGAAATACACAAACGTATTGAACAAACGAGATAG